CAAAATAATCCTGCTGCATTCCTGAACAGAGGAGAAATTCGCTATGTGGAATTTGCTGAGAGACAATGTGTGGTTCTCTTAGGAAATGTTTTAAAGAGTAATGCTGCCTGAACCTAGTTTTTACCTTGTAGCCTAACCTTAGAATAATCTGCAATTCTGTTGTTTTCACAGTGATAAATCTAACATTACCTGGCTACTGCCCACAGCATACTTTATAGGATACAGCTCAGAATCTTCTTAGGTCTAAATGTCCTTCAGTGAGTTACTGTCCGGTTTAAATAAAGTTAATGTATATACAGTACAATCAACAATTATCCATTTCTACTTTTTCTTCATGATTCACACACATTGATTCTTCTGCGGGGAATATTTGTCCCTGGTCTCTATAGGGAACGTGTTTTTCTCTTAAATTACAGTTAAACACTAGTTGCCACCTCGCCTGTAACAACTTCGCCTCTAGGTAACCACTCTAGTAAAACTCATTTATATGCACTGTGATAACCACTGCAAAATTGTTTATATATAACAGTAAAAACCTGGAAGCCAAGACGTTCATCTCTCAATGTTAGATTAAATAAACCATAGTCTACCGTACTATGGAATACATGTGGAGTCACGAAACTTCTGAATAGGGCTGACAAGCTAGCTCGGAGGTCTAAAAAAGCATCTACTTAGACAAACTTAGGCACAGGGGACTGTGGTTCCACCCCCCACACACACACCACCACACGCTGTGCCAGCCCCGCCCTCAGGGCGGGCTGAGACAGCCAAAAAAATAAAAAATTAAGAAAAAAAACTCCAGAAAGGGCTGGGGAGAGAGCTCAGTAGAATAAGCGTTTGCCTGGCAAGTGTAAGGTCCTGAGTTCAATCCCCGGGTCCGGGAGAGAAAAAAAAAACAAACTCCAGAATACCGGAGACAAAGTAACAGAAGAGTAGCCAGGTGGCATTCACGTGTATGTTCTGTATAGTGTGTATTTTACTCAGAGAAGTTTAGAAAACGATGTACCAAAGGTTTAAGCCTCCAAACCAGAAACTAATATTATTCATTGCTGTGAAAAAACAATGCATTGGTCTATTTGTTCCAGTTATAAATATTATAATTAAAATGTTAAAAAAAATATGCCAGAGCTGGGGAGATAGACCAGTAGAATAAGTGCTTGCCTGGCAAGTGCAAGGTCCTGAGTTTGATCCTTGGTACCGGGGGAAAAAAAAAAGCCAAATCATGCCTCTGGAGAGCAGAGCAGGAGGGGAAGAGGGACTTATGTTGTGCTTATTTATCTATTTTGATGAAAATGTGAGCTATTCATAGTATTACACTGTTCGTGTGACACTGGCAGAACTTCTCAGAAGGCAAAGGCACTGTTTTCTCGCGTCTTCTCCCACGCGGGCAGAGTCCGCTTTCTTCCCGGGCAACGCTGCTCCTCCCGGGGTGTGCAGCGCTGATCGCTCGCGCCGTCCCCATTAGAGGAGCCTCAGGGCCTGTGTCCCCGGATTAACGCCCAATAAATGACTGCGAACAGACGTGAAAGGAAACAACAAATGGTACAGACAGCTCACCACGGAGAACAGCGGGCGCAATGCCCGGGCGCTGCGGGCTCGCCCCGCACCCTCCGCCGGGTCTCTGCGGCCGCCGCCTCCGAGCAGCTCCGAGACCTCACGGCTGCGGCTCGGCGCCCCTCGCGGGTGCCCGGCGGGAAGTGCAAGGCCGCGGGCCCCGCTGCACCCCCGGGCCGGCGACTGCAGCCGGGACCTGCGGGGGCAGGAAGGAGCCTGGGGCCCAAGGGCAACGGGCTGCACTTCCACCGGGACGGTCAAGCA